GTAGTATAAATATGTTAATTAATAACTGACCCATCTAGTAGTATAAATATGTTAATTAATAACTGACCCGGGGTTGAAAGGTATTCATGGTGACTATAATATAAGAACATAGGAGGAAGGAAGGGGTTGAATGGTATTCATGGTGACTATAATATAATATATAAACATAGGTGGAAGAAAGGGGTTGAAAGGTATTCATGGTGACTATAATATAATATATAAACATAGGTGGAAGAAAGGGGGTGAAAGAGACTCATTGTGACTGCAATACTAGTTTTTGAATGAAATGTTTTTTAATTAGTCAACAAAAATCAGTACTGGCCTGAACAAACACGAAGCCTTAAACAGTAGTGTAATCAAATCACACTCGCCTCTAATAGGTTCTGCTTGTATGAATTCATCTTTCACAGAAATTTAAAAAATCAAATGATACATAGTAAAAGAATAATATTGTTTAATGCTAGTAAAATACAGGAAGACCCCAAATGACTTTGTTTTCAAATACCAATATTCTTTATTCTTCAAACATAAGAAAACCTAACTTTTCTCTTTGCTCTAAAATATGAAAAACTATTGTTAATTTAAAATAATAATCATTATTCTGATACTAAAATACACAATGATCCAAAACAAAACTACACGTGATTTAACAGAGTGCTTGTTAGTTATGGTTTTGAATAATACTTTGGTTAAAACAAATGTTATATTAATTAAACTAATACAGTGTACAAAACGGAATTATCAATATTTTCAGCAGTTCACGTGAAGTCTTAAAATGTACATTAAAACTTAGGAAACTGGACAGTAATGCTACCTTCCTACTATTTTCTTTGCTTTTCCTCTAGCGATGTACACATATCTGGAAAAATGTAAATGGACCAACATGGGTAGTTTAAATAAATGTTAAGAGAGACAGTTTATATGTTATGTATTAATTTAAAGTAAAAGTTTTTTTTAAATTGCGATTGTATTTTTTGCAATCGTGTTTGACATTTATCAAAAAATGCTACAGTTTATACGATGGCTTTGTCATGTTTTTTGCTAATCTTGAGTACTGATACCATAGCTATAAAGTTAGACACACGTATGTTGAAGTTAAAAGCGTTTCATGCTTTTAGTAAATAATGTTCCTGAGTTAATGTCAGTTTTAAATTTTTATATATGTGTGAAAAAGTTCAAGTCTTTACATGTGCTGAGATATATAACAATTCATTCTGAAACACTTGTGAATTATAAAATTGTGATCTATAATATAAAAATGACATTTTTCTAAGTAATGGATGAAATGTTCAAAGAAGTTCTGCCAAATTACATTGTGATTGTGGAGCATTAATATTTTTAGCGTATAAATCTTAAAATTAGCAGGTATACAGAAGAGCTATGAACTGGCTTAAGTGTAACTGTTTCTGAACATTTTGTTGGGTTTTGAGAAATGTCTATGTGATACGTTGTGGTTTTAAAGAGTTTTTATATATTAAAAAGCAAGAATGTTTTTGATATAGTATGATCTATTATTTTTACAGATTGCTGGAGTTGAGTTTGTCTACTTCATTCAGAAGAATTCTCTAGATCGTCGCAAACGCATTTTGAAGATTGAAGCTCACAATGAAAGTTTTGCTTCTAGAATTGGTATTGTGGAAAGGTGTGCATACACGGTAAGGATACAAACATCTCAAGATGCTGTAAATGTGAACAGTTGAGCAAATGTTTAATTTTGATGTTAATTTTCAAACTAAATATCTAATAACAAAAATGGGCATTAACTAGGTAAAATATATGCATTTAAGGTGAGATTTACTAGAATCAGAAGGGCTTATGTAACAAAACTGAAAACATAAAATAATGAAAGTAGTGAAAGATCTGTTGAAGTGGTGGTGTATATAAACATACAGTGTTATAATTATTGTATACCTAGTGTGCTGTCTATGGATAACATAATTAACAATTATTTATGAAAGTTACAGAGGATGGTTCATCATTTAGAATAAGGAGTTATATCTGTACTGATTCTTCATTTATCTGGTGAATTACCATTTCATTCTCAAAATGTTTTTTTAACAGAAGAGAAGTGAAATTTTTCACTCATAACAAGTTGAAATTATTTTTGGATTTTTCAAAAATATTTTAAAAGTTTTTAATAGCATTTTGGGAAGGTAGTGTTCGTTTGAAAGTTCTCAGGAGGATCAAAATTCCTCCTGAATTCTGTATTGCTCACATTCCCTGTATTCTACTAATGAATTCATCTGAAACTTAACGAGTCAATCGATTATTCTTCAATTGATGAGAAATACAAGTTGTCTAAGGAACATATTTATACTACTGGATTATTCATGGTGACTATAATATAAGAACATAGGAGGAAGGAACCCTTTCAACCCCTTCCTTCCTCCTATGTTCTTATATTATAGTCACCATGAATACTTTTCAACACCTTCCTTCCTCCTATGTTCTTATATTATAGTCACCATGATTATCTTTCAACACCTTCCTTCCTCCTATGTTCTTATATTATAGTCACCATGAATACCTTTCAACCCCTTCCTTCCTCCTAGGTTCTTATATTATAGTCACCATGAATACCTTTCAACCCCTTCCTTCCTCCTATGTTCTTATATTATAGTCACCATGAATACCTTTCAACCCCTTCCTTCCTCCTATGTTCTTATATTATAGTCACCATGAATACCTTTCAACCCCTTC